ACGTGTTGCCTTATGTTGTTTTACGCAATAGCAGAGGTGGGTATTTTTATAGAATAGATCCAATAGCTATTATTATCAATGGTAATTAGGTTATACCGAATTGATAGTCAAATGTTTCGGATTTTTATGATAATTTCTAGGATCTATATTTTATTCCTATCGTGTTTCATGAGAATTAACATGTCACGTAAGGATTAATATGGAGGCTCCATTAGAGACCTCTAGTTAGAATTTCTAGTATTATCTTTTTTCTAGCATGATATGTATTTAGTTGAAACATAATATTAACATATATAAAGTCTAGTTGTATCCTTTTCTGTGACCATAAATCATAGTTTAGCTATCGACTTTCAATCAAGTTGTGCAATTTTTTTCACATATTAGGTAGAAACTCTAGTGTTTTTCATCTTTTATTCAAAAATTATTTTTTTACTAAAAAGAGTTTAAGTTCTAGTAGTATTTTTTCCCACATATTAATTAAAACTCAGATTGTACCGTAGCATCAAACATGTTGAATTTATTATATCACAGACTTATATGTATCTAGTGTTGTCTTATGTATCTCAGAGTGCTTAAAATTAAAGGCAAATTTTACTGAGGGACATTAGAAAAACACATAATTGGCTGGCACATACCGTCAAACGGAGAATTTGTCCAAAGACACCATAAATTCGTGGTTGTTTGCTCAAACAGATCGCGTCGATTATTTTATTCATTTCTTAATTTGGAGGAGAGAGATGTAGGAAAATGTCCAAACTGACTTCGTCTTCCACCTCTGATTGTGCACCAATTTTTGTTGTAACACACCATTCAACTCCGGCAGGGTGGTGGAGTAGTGCGAGGTCCACCGCGCCCAGTAGCAGCAGCACGTCGGCGAGCAGCAGTAGCACGTCGGTCTGGGCGCCGCCGGAGCCACGAGCTCCACGCCGGCCGCGTGCTCCGTGCGCCGCCCGTGCCGCGAGCTCCGTCGCGCTGGCCACGATGCGCCCCACCACCGCCGCTCGTCCGCGTGCTGCTGCTGCTCGGCCGCACCGCCAGGGCTTAGGGGCCACGCCGCCGGGCGTAGGGGTCTGGGGCCGCTCGCCCGCATGCTGCTGCTGCTTGGCCGCGCCGCCGGGGCTCAGGGGCCGCGCCGCCGGAGTGCAGGGGTCAGGGGCCGCTCACCTGCGTGCTGCTGCTGCCCGTGTGCTACAGGAAAGCGTGTTATTTGGTGATCTAAACGTATAGCTAGTCTGTTCAATCTCTAGTTTAATCCCTGCGGCTCCAATTTCTCCATCACTTTCTCTCCTGTGCCCGCCGCTTCATCCCTGGCCGCCGCAGCCCGCACAAGGCCGGGAAGGCCGCGCCGCCGCTCGTGCAAGACTAGAGAGGGCCGCACCGCGGTTGACGCTGTTGGTCGGAGAAGGACAGTGACAAATCAGCCGCAACGATGTGCAACGCCAAAAATTGATACACAGCCGAGAAATGAATAAAATAATCGGCACGGTGTGTCTGGGCAAACAACCACGAATTTGCGGTGTCTTTGGGAAAATTCTCCGTTTGGCGGTGTGTGCCAGCCAATTACATGTTTTTCCGGTGTCCCTCGGCAAAATTTACCAAAATTAAATTATCAATACTGATATGATATAATGTTTCAATTAAAATATACAAACTTATTTAAAATAACAATTTATAAAATTGATTATCATGTAGCATTAATATAATTTAAAGTGGATTGTCGTGGTTTATGAAGTTTCTAGGTGGTTTAAACATTTTTCCATGCTTCATAAGCTATTAAAATAAATATATATCCTAATGTATATATGTTTACTTAGTACAAATTGTGAAGTATAATAATATGGTTATTTAATTTCATGGTTGTATACTATTTATACGTAGATTTGAGAAATATTTTTGTTTTTTATAATGACTGAGTTAGATACAAATATAAAGGTAATACTTTATATTCTTCCATAACAACATATATGGGTAGGTTGATTGTAAATTTAGGAGGTTATTTTTCATGATCTTTCATAATTACAAAGGTCGATAATTTACAAAATCATTATTATGTATTTTAAATTATCTTTCATAATGGCACATGTGAGTAATCTAGATACAAAATTAGTGGGTTATATTTTAAATTATGTCTCATAATGACATATGTGGGAAATATAGATTCAAAGTTAGAGGGTTATTTTAAATTATCTTTCATAATAGCAATGACGGGTAATTTAGATACAATGTGATGGGGTTATTTTGAATTATGTTTCATAATAACAAATGTGGGTAATTTATATATAAATTTAGGAGGTTATTCTGAATTATTATTTGTAATGGTAGATGTGGGTAATTTATATGCAAAATTAGGGGTACTTTATGTATTTTTCATAATAACAGAGGTGGGTAATTTTTTTATAAATTACAATAGATCGAATGGCTATTATCGGTTATGGTGATTAGATGCTATCAAATTAAAGGCTAGATGTTTCTTATTATTGTGAAGAATTTCTAAGATTTATCTTTTTTCTTAGCACGTCTTGTGAGAATTAATGTGATATCTCTGTTGTGGCCTCTAATTAGTAATAATAAGATACTACATGCTCTATGCAGTCAAACAAGGTCTTACACCCATTTAAATTTTGATGCACACATCGAATGCGACCAAGCCATGAGTAGGGTTGGTGGTGCGTCTGCGTTCGATCAATTGTTCCTTCCTTCCACACAGACCTGTCGTCTCCTGTGGCCTTGCCAAACACTGCTGCCTGCCTGGAGCTCCTGAAAAAGCTTTCTTCGGTTCAGTTCAGACTTCCTGAGACGCATGATTCAGAACTGCCACGAGTACTGTAGTTCTTTACTGTCATCCGTCCGCAATCAGGGTTGGTTAATCTATGCTACTCATGATCCCAAATGATGGAGATAACAACAACAATACTAATCTGAATGTTAATCCACTGCAGAAGGCAGCATGACGCAGTTAAGAGGAGCAAATCATTTGGAGTGATCGCCGATAGCTTTGTTCTAACAAGGTAGTACTAGTACTTGTATTAGCAGTACATCCAGCTGTTGGGTTGAGTTTGGACAGCACAAAAGCATGATTTCCAACAAATGATGTTATTTTTTTACCACATTTACACTCCATACAGTAAAAATTGATGTGATGGAGAGAGAGTCACACAAGGCCCAGGAGTACATCCAGCTGTTGGGTTGAGTTTGGACAGCACAAAAGCATGCAAATGATGTGACGCTGACCACTCACAGTCTCACACACAAGTGGATTAGTCAGTGTCACCAACTTTTTTTTTCTGCCCGATCATGTTGTTGCCGGATGCCAGAACATTGGCGGCAGGTCGAAAAATCTCAGCCCGTTTCCATGGGAAGTGAAGTGACTGTGACTCGACCATCCATGGCTTGGCTGATGAGAAACTGAAACTGCTCCAAAACAAGAGACATGGAATGAGTGACGGATTCAGCCGTTCAGGCACGCTCCTGTAAAAAGCGAGCAAGTAGTACTCCTAGTACGTGACAATCCAATAATGACTTTTCAGTTCATTGTTCATACGCTCCCTGCATGGACCATGGAGGCAGCAGCAGCATCTGCATCTCTTAAGTTAAAAAAAAGCATCTGCATCTCTGAACTGCATCGATGCGAGGATGGATGAGAACAAGCTAGTACCCCCCTAGGAGTATTTAGCGTTGAACAGTTAGAGCAGCCATGCTAGCGACGCATGCTTAATTTGCGGTAGGAGGACAAGAGCATTAGCCTGGACAAGGACTGGGATCATTGCACAACGCCTACATACAGACGTGTTATGTCTGAATGCCAACACATGCGATGCTTCCTTGCGACCGCGACGGGTGAGTAGGAGATGGGGATCTGATGCGTCTCAAGAAGACGATATGAACAAGGTCATGCATGATCTAACTAGTACTGAAGATATCTTTTAACTCTTGTGTTTGCAACCAAATGTTTATAAACGCCTGAATCTCACTGCTCAAACACACCTTATAGGTTGCTGTCTTGTTCGCTTGGCTGATAAGCCATAGCTGAAAGTACTGTTGGCTGATTTATTGTGAGAGAAAAATATTATTAATTGGCTAAACAGTTGCAGACTGTTTGGTTGGAACGAAGGAGAGGCGTCGACCATGTGCATGTGCTTGTGGGCACAGCACTCGCAGCTCCGGCGGATCTTTTTGACCTCCTAACAGAAAAGGAGAGTGGGGTGAGCCAAGGAAGCATCTCAAGTCGAGATGCGAGCAAAATACAGTTGCTTTCACTTCACTCCAAAGCTTTGCTTGCTTATTGTTCCCCTGCTGGCAGCTGGTCTCCTGCTGCTGATCTACCAATCCTCATCTGCAGCCAGCCACCGCTCCACCAACCATGGGCTGTCACTCCTTGCAATATGTTGCACGCATTCGCCCCATGATTATGATGATAATCTTCATTAAATGCGAGATTATATGTTGTAAGCTCGCCCTATGATTATGATAATCAACAGTTATTCAGGAGTACCATCCTGTTCCTGTACAGTGGGAAGCAAGGAAAGGTGTTGCATTAACTAACAACACCTTTCCTTCTTGCCTGGCTAGAATGAAAAGAGGCTTTAACTGCTTGAAGGCGAAGTGCAATGCAGTACACAACATGTGAATGCTGAGGTTCTCACCTTAACATTAACACAAGTACAGAAGAACTTGATTGCTCCAGAATCCTAGGCTTTAGGCTCTCCTGTTCTTCAATTCTAGATTTCACACCACAGTGCCCAGGAGGCTTGATATGTACACAACAGTGCCCTAAGAGGCTATGATGCATACCACACCAGAAATTCCGGGGCCTAGATTTCACACACCCTACAGCCTACCTAAATGCAGATGGATAAACGAAAGATATCTGAATCTCACACCACCCTAATTAAGTGCAGAGACCTAAAGCACCAGGCCCTAAGCTAGAAATATCCAAACATCGGAATTTCACCAAGGGAAGGAAACATAGGAATGATAGAAACCAAGCTTTGACACAGCTCTCACATGCTGATGAGATCAGTAGTCGGCGAAGACTGGGAGCTCGGTTGCTGCTGCTGCTCTTTGGTGGCTTCATCATGCGGCGCTTCAACAGATCCATCAGCTGCTGGAGGATCAGACGGCGCGGCGGAACCATCATCACCAACGCTGGGAGGTTCGTCTCCTTGCCTTGCAGCTGGCTTCGGAAGCTCGCTGAGCATCTGCACCACCTCCCGCATCGTAGGCCTCTGCACGCTCTGCTCCTCGACGCAGAGGAGCGCGACATAGAAGACGTGCATCACCTCGTGCACTGGCACGGTTGACAGCCTGGGGTCCATGATCTTGATCACCTGCTCCTTGTTTGCATCCGTCATCGTCTTGACCCACTGGACAATGTCGACGCCGTCCCCAAACTCACCTACTGGCTTCTTTCCGGTGACCAGCTCAAGAAGCACAACACCAAAGCTGTAGACATCGCTCTTCTCATCGACCTTGAGGGTATATGCATACTCTGTAAATCCACAAGATAGCAATCCGATAAAGGATTAGTTGATTTCAGGAATTCCCTACCTATGTAGATATAAATTCTATTTGTAACACTCTGTTCCGTTATCTAAAAAAAAACGTATTTCTGACATATCAGAACAAGGAAACAAACTTTAGCTATATAGCAAGTAAGTAACCAGATCCAAAAAGGAATTCTATGTTTCATTAGCTAAACTGATGAACAAACTAAAAGGGGACAAGGACAAGTAGTAACAGCTAGCAACACATTTTTTTTACCACTACATGACATGAGATAAACAAGCATAAGCTTTTCGCAATAGTATTCAAAATTAATCTGTAGAGAACAATAAAGACTTAAAATAGACAATTGTGAATATGGTGTCAATAATTCTGAAAAAAATACAAACTGTAATAAGGATAATTACCTGGAGCAATATAGCCATAGGAACCAGCAATGGCAGACATACACTGTGATGCGCCAGAGTCCAGCAAGAACTTGGCCAGCCCGAAATCAGCAACGTGTGCCTCAAAATCCGAATCAAGCAGAATGTTGTTTGATTTAACATCACGATGCAGGATCGGTGGTGAACAATCATGGTGGAGGTAGCTGAGCCCCTTGGCAGCCTCAACAGCGATCTTGTATCGAGTGTCCCAGTGGAGATGGCCACCTTTCTTGCCATGGAGTAGCTCCCCCAGGCTACCATTGGGCATAAACTCGTACACCAAGAGATTCGTCTCATTGTTCGAACAGAAGCCAAGCAATCTCACAATGTAGCGGTGTCGGATCCTCCCAAGAGTCTGAATCTCAGCAGAGAACCCATGGTCATGCGACGAGCCACGGCTCATCGACGAAAGCCGCTTCACTGCAACATGCTCACCATCTGGCATTGTCCCCTTGTACACAATCCCAGCTCCACCTTTGCCGATGATGTTCTCCTCCTTCAGACTATCTAGCACATCGTCGCAGGTGAATTCAAGGCGTTGGAACGCAGTGAGTTTCCACGCACGCGCCTCGCTGGCCTTCTTCAGTGACCGGGCCTTCAAGATTGCCATGGCAGCAAACGCAATGGAGCAGACAAGCAAGCCGAGGACGATGAGCAACTTGAAGGTATTGGACATGCCACCATGGGTGTGTGCTCCATGGCCCGTGCGGGCACCACCAGAATGGCATGGTCCAAGGTACGGCCCACACAGCCCCGGGTTGCCGACGAAGGAAGTCGCATTGAAGTAGCTGAACTGCCCAGTTGCCGGCACGAGGCCAGACAGGTTGTTGTATGAGAAGTCGACGGCCGTGAGGCTCTGCATTGCAGCAATGGTTGCCGGTATCTCTCCATCAAGGTGGTTCCGGGACAGGTTCAGGTAGTTGAGAATTCGCATGCCGGAGATGGCCGGCGGTATCTCCCCGGACAGGTTGTTCCGGCTGAGGTCCAGGAAGGTGAGCAACCGGCATTTCCCAATCTCCGGCGGCACACCGCCGTCAAGCACATTGCCGCTCAGGTCAGCCTTAGACAACTGCTGCAGCCGGCCAATCTCCGGCGGTACTGCGCCGGTGAATGCATTCTGGTCAAGAAGCAATTTTTGCAAACCTGAGAAATTCCCAATGGACGCCGGTAGCGCGCCGGTGAGCTGGTTATTGGAGAGAGTGATGGCCCCCAGATTCGGCGCGCCGGTGCCGGTCACCGCCGGGAAGCCGCCGGACAGGAGGTTGTCCTGCAGCTCAACCTGCGTCAGATTCGGCAGCTCAAAGAGACCTTCCGGGATGGAGCCGTTGAGGTAGTTCTCGCCGAGGCGGATGCGGGAGAGTGCCTCGCATTTCCCCAGCGATTCCGGGATTGAGCCGAAGAGGAAGTTGCCGAGCGCGATGAGCGTCTCCAGCTTGCCCCCGGCGCAGAGCTCCGGCGGGAGGGTGCCGGTGAGCCTGTTGGACGAGAGGTCGACCAGCTGGAGCCGTCCGTTGCGGCCGAGACGGCGCGGGATGCCGCCGGTGAAGTTGTTCTCCCAGAGCTGCAGCACCTCGAGGCTGGGCAGGTCGCCGACGAGCTCGGGGATGCTGCCCCTGAGCTTGTTGCGGAAGAGGTTGAGCAAAGTGAGGTTCTTGAGCGCGGCGAAGGTCGATGGAATCTCGCCGGTGAGCGCGTTGTTGGACAGGTCCAGCGAGCTGAGGCTCCTGAGCCGCCCCAGCTCCGGCGGGATGGCGCCGGCGAGCCCGTTCACCTGAAGGAAGAGCGTGTCGAGGTTGGCGAGATTCCCAAGCTCCGGCGGAATCTCGCCGGAGAGCCCGCAGTTGGCGGCGTCGAGGCGGACGAGATCCGTCATGTTGCCGAGCTCCGGCGGAATCCCGCCAGAGTAGCTGTTGTAGTAGCCAATGTAGAGCTCCCTGAGGCTGGTGAGGCAGCCGAGCTCCGGAGGGATCTTCCCCGACAGCTCGTTCCCGGAGACGGCGAGGTACTGCAGCCTCCGCCACCGGCCGTACTCGGGCGGGATCTCGCCGGAGAAGAAGTTGCCGCCGAGGTGGAGGTGGCGGAGCATCGGCAACGCGACGACCTCGAGCGGGAGCGGGCCGGTGAGGTTGTTGTTGTAGAGGTCGAGCACCCGGAGCGCGCGCAGGCGCGCGAGCGGCGGCGGGAAGGTGCCGTTGAGCACGTTGTTGGAGAGGTTGAGGTGGGTGAGGGACTGCAGCCTGGACAGCGGCGCCGGGATGGGGCCGGACAGCGCGTTCGCGGCGAGGTCGAGGCGCGCGAGGTGCGCGAGGCCGGATAGCGCGGCGGGGACCGGGCCCGAGAGGTTCCGGCCGGAGAGGTCCAGCCCGATGACCGCGGCGCGCGCGTTGCACGTCACGCCGGACCACGCGCAGGGGGCGGTGGCGTTCGTCCAGGACGCGAGCGCGCCGGCCTGGTCCGACAGCGCCGCCTTCGCCGCCAGCAGGGCGTCCGCGTCCGCGCCGGCCGTGGCCGCGCCACCGGCAGCCCCCGCCACCGCGGCTGCGGTGGCGAGGAGGACGAGGAGGTGGAGGTGGAGGCGCATTGGCATTGGGTTCGTTTCGAGGCTCCGTCTCCGCCGGGAGAGTGGAGACAAGGGAGTGAGGCCGCGCGGCCCGCGAGAAAAGGAGAGAGCTTTACGATAGGCTCGGCTGGTCGTTCTTGGTTGAAACAGCACACTGCACACATCTGACACACCTACTCAGTAGGCCGCTAGTGCGGCTATAAAAAAGCATGTGATTCCTTATTGGATTTTCTGGAGGGAAAAAAGTGTTATTTTTATAAACTTGTCTTTTCTTTCTTTTTTAACAGAAAAAAATTGTTCTTTTGAGTAGGAGTGCTTGTCTTTTGTTTGGTGATTTGGTTGGGTTTGGTATGGCTTTCTTTACTTTTTTCGGATGGGACAGGTTTGTATTGTTAGTTGATTTGGATTTTGTTAATGAAAAGTTTATTCATGTGTTGATACGTGTTTACGCTTATTTACGTCTAAAATTTTTATTTTTTATTTATATTTAATCTTTCATGCTTAGCGTCAAAAGCTTTCATGTGATTTACTTTTGGCAAATTTTTGGAACGCATGCAAAATATTATAAGAAAAAAACATTACTATTTTAGCTACAAATCTTTTAAGACTAATTAACTATAGTTATCAAATAACAACGAAAAGCGAAGCATTTTGGATAGATCCGGGATCCAATGAAAAGTTTATTCATGGTTGATACAGTGTTTACGCTTATGCTATGCCTTATATTCCATGTGTTCCAGCAAGGATGTTGTTGTTTGTTATGCCATGATGTGTTTCAGCAATGGATGAAACAAAAGTTTGTTAATAGCATCAAGAGATTAAGAGATGGTTAAAAGGCTTGTAGAGTGGGCTTTATTACTGCATCCAATTAACTTTGCTTGTTTCCTTCTTGATTTGGTTGTCCCAACCTTAAGTCTAATAAGAGCAGTGTCAAAATAAAAGTCTAATAAGGCCAATCTCAATGGGGATTTCATAGAGTTTTATGGGCATTAAATATGCAAACATGGCTATTATGATGAAGAGAGTCCATTGCTGGCCGTATTTATAGAAAACAATTAAGCTATTTCAAAAATATGAGTGTGTTAATCTATTCCCCATAAGAGCAAGGGCTATTAATGTAGTCCGTTGCTGGTCGTATAAAAACATATGTTCTCATGCTATTCATATGCTAGATGTAGTTATAGTCGGCTTCTCTTCCTCTTCTCCTTTCTTTTCTCCACCTCAGCAAATAGTCTACTTAGCCCTTTACTATATACTCTAATGAAAGATAGTACTATGTTTTTGCACATATTCTATGTTATCACCACGATATTTCTAGCCACTACTTGGTTAACAAGTAGAATAAGGCAGTCACGAGAATAACACAACAAAATCTTTATTATTCTCGTTGTGGTCCATGGCACCGATTTTCTCCACTGCAAGTATAGCACCACCGCAACTCGGGCGACGACACGCATCTAAACAGCCTCTTGAGCTGAACAAGAGGTACTCACTCCGTTCTGTAATAAGTTCTAGCCTTCTAGCATCTATTCACCATTCTCTTGTTTCAATGCATTTTTCTCTTTCTCCAATGTACTCCGTATGTATCTTTGTCTCTCTCATTCTAGATACCTTTGCATCGCACTTTTTATCACCTCTTTAATTCTCGAGGTATAATGACAAATAATATGGGAGAGGGGAGTAGTTGACATGCCCTATCTTCGCCAATTTAATTCAGAGTGCTAGCTCTCGAACATCTACTATGGGTTAACGGTTGATGAGACGACATTGCGAAACATTGGCCATGTTTGGTAGGGATGTAGATTCTCCTAGAAAAGTTTTGAATTCAGATTCCCTTCGTAAACATTCGTCGAATTCACTTCGTGAAACTGTTTGGCTAGCTCGCTAGATTCTTGAAACTATGAGAATTAGAATCTAAGAGAAATCAGATTTTAAGTGTTACTAGTAAAAAACAAAAAATTGGTTCCAAGTAAATCTCCAATGATTTTATTAAAAATCCGAAATATTTTTCGCTGCCAAACACACCGGCCCTGTTCAGCTGGTATTAAATCGGCTTCTGCTGATTTGTACTGCTGATTTGTTGTGAGAGAAAAATAATGTTCCGCGGACTGATTTGTACAGATTAAAGCCGGCTGAATAGCACAAGCGAACAGAGCCCAAAGTTTTTTATCAAGCCTCTCGGTAGTCTATTGTGATTGGTTTTCAATATGCAGGACCTGTTTGGTAGAGCCCCGACTCCAGTTAAAACAACTTTAGCTGTGGGTTCACCGGTGGAGCAGATTCACTTGGGGAGCTGAAGCTGTTTTTAGACCGTTTAACAAAACAGCTCCTCTTATTAGTTAAGAGTAAAATCTCATTCTTGCCCATATTTTTTTCTTTTTTCATTTTTCTCTTTTCCTTTATTTTATTTTCCTATCCATCTTCTTCTTCTTCTTATTTTCTCCTTCCTTATCTCTTGTTTCTCTCTCCTCCTCCCAACCACTGAAACGCATCGTTTCTTTCTTATCCTCTGGTTTCCCATCGCTGCTAGCTCCGCCGGCGTGCACGCTCTCGAGCTCCTCGCCGGCGCGCATGCATGCACTCCGCCTCGCCCGTTGCGCTCGTGCTCGCAGCTCCCGCGCTCCGCGCAGCCTCGCCAGAGCACAGGCACTCCACCTCGCCTGTCGCGCTCGTGCTCGCGCTCCACTCCACCTCGCCGTCGCGTCCGCGCTTTCGGTTTGTTCAGCAGGATAGAAAAATATTGTTTTCAGTTTATTATTATAAAAAAAAATACTATTTTAACAAAACATAAACAGTATTTTTATGAGATAGCTGGAGCCGGCAATCAGCCAGCCAGCCGAACACGGCCTCGACCACCCGCACTGGGGCAAAAGAGTCTGGGCCCGCGCTTTGTCAGAGAGAGCCGGTGGGAGCTCGATTTTCTGGCTTCAACCGACGGCACTGGCGTGTGAGAGCGCAAAAACCGGAGATTCTTCGTCGGAGCCGTTCCCTTTCTATGCGTTTGGTTGCCGGAGCAGCAAAACAGCTCCAGGAGCTGCCCTGGAGCCATACCAAACGGCCCTGCAGACGGATGATTGCTCGGGAAGACGGATGGTAGAGTAGGGTGGCAGTCGGTCCACAAGGCTTTGGTTATTCTGCTTCCAAGGCTTTGGTCCCCGTCCTGTAGCAAGTGGTGCAATAATAGGCCTTTTTTTTTGTGTTACAATCAGCATTTTTTTTTTTTGCTACAGCTCGGCTAGCTGATCTATAGTGCTGGTTGGCTGAGCAAATGTCTAACTAGGGTGTTTAGATGCAGGGACTAAAATTTAAGAGATGTCTCATCGGATATCAAATGATGTGTCGCATGTGGTGTTCAGATATTAATAAAAAAAACAAATTACAGAATCCGTCGGTAATCCGCGAGACGAATTTATTAAGCCTAATTAATCCGTCATTAGCACATGTTATTGTAGCATCACATTGTCAAATCATGGACTAATTAGGCTTAAAAAATTCGTCTCGTAAATTAATCTCAATCTATGTATTTAGTTTCGTAATTAGTCTATATGTAATACTTCATACATATGTCCAAATATCTAATATGACAGCGACTAAAGTTTAGAAGGTGGAACCAGATACCCCTAAGTGAAGAAATAGTACTACATGGGTTAATTATGGGTGGATACATAATACTATTTTATATTTTTTCTATTCATTCGATTGATGCATAGAAATGATGCAATCTTTCTGCCGGCTAAAATATACTTCTGTGTTTCCATTTCTAATTACACTTTTTTCATTTACTTTGAAAATGCAAAAATAAACCAACCACTCAAACATGTACACATGTCTACATAACTCGCACACATCATTTTAGAATTTTAGACAATTCCAACGATAATAACTTTCTATTTCTTGACCTGGAGGCAGGTTACAAACCAAACAAATAAAAGTACTATATGGTACAGTTGAAGCCTGCAACTTCAAAGTGAAATATGTTCTACAGTAGAATTGGTGAGGTGAGGTTGATTTTGACCGAGTGTAGCAGTTACAAACACCTCTAACTAACGTGGATGAACAAATAATCAAAGGTAAACTGTGGAATGCAGTAAACAAAATAAAAAGTTTTGTATGGATAACCAAGACTCTTTTTTATCGACACCTTATAATTTTTTTTATGAGAATGGCGGGAGGGACGGAAAATCTCTACTTGATATATTAACGACAGAGGCAGAGCTAGTTAGGAACAAAGGACTTGGCCGTGTAGGATTAAGGACATTTTAAGGTTAAGAAGGTTAATAAGGGGTAGTAAGATCTTTGCTCTTAGTATTTGCTAATATGTCCTAAACTTGCTACAAATCTATTCATTCATGGATAGAGGAAGTACTATTAACTATAAAAACATGTTATATGATTAATCGGATATCATAAATGTTAATACTATTTTGTATAAATTTGATCAAATTCAAAATTAATTTACTTATAAAAAAACAAGAGTTGCATTTACCTTAAGACGGAGGAGTAATCCTCCTCTGCTTGGTTGTACCCACAAGTCAAAAAGTACTCCCTTCATACTAAAAAATCAACATTATGTTCATTTGAACTTATCAAAAATGACGTAACCAGTGCAGAGAGCTCCCGCTCTGTGTGGGGTCTGGGGAAGAGTGTCAGTGAGCCTTACCCTCGCCTGTGCAATGCGAGGAGACCGCGACTCGAACCCGGGACCTTCCGGTCACAGGCGGTAAGACTCTACCGCTTGCACCAGGTCCGCCCTTCTCACTTGAACTTATCAGCCATATCTTTTTAGTAGAATGACAGTGTTTTTTTCGCATAACAAATCAACATCAGTCAACATTAGCCGTTTTCCGGCCAACCAAATGGAGCCCAAGTCGTTTTAGGGGGGTGGACTTAGTTTTGACATATCAAAGTCGTTTAACTGTATTTTGTACGAGATTACCCCCGTCGTTTCTTATCCCGTCGCCTAGTCCCGAGGTAACATTTAATCGCGCCTCCTCGCCGAGCCATCCGCGCGGTCGCGCATGCAGCTA